GTTCTTAGTTGAGTGAAGACATGGTTCTAGGAAAAAATTCGCTACGGAACGAACCTTTCAATGCCCATTAGGCGATTATTTACAATTATTGTTGCCTGCTAATCTAATTTTATGCTGGTTCAGGTCCTTGAGACCAATCTGCCACTCATTGAGCTAGGAAGGTCCATAACCTAAGACAACAAAGTAGTGTCTGATCGGCTAGTTGCTCGGTTATCACGGGTTCAATTATCAGAGGTTGTGACACCTTTTGTTGCAAACCGAAAACAGTTAGCAGTTATCTGTACGGTTCAAGTACAAGACCGTTTTAGAGTCTTCTCTTAGATGTCATATTAAATTCCTATATTAGTTGAAAATCCCAAGTAAGGTTAAAATTTTCCTTTAGTACATAAGGCGGGGTGCGCCACTAATGAAGGAAAATCTAGTAAGTTGCAATTGGGAACGATCTAGAAAATGTTGTTCTTACAACTCTACTGATACCATCAAGCATTTTTTCGAGAATGGCCTTTGAAAAAGAAAAATCATAGTATCCAGTCAAGATAACTTATAATATTGTGGCACCGCTTATAATATCCTAGCCGCCACTAGTATTTAAAATGTATGGGGCCAATCTTACTTGAATTGCTCAAGCTTTGAAACCACTCAGTCACGTTGGGCTGTAGTGTTTTGTTGGTCCATTTTTTTATGTCACAAAATTGCTTTTAATATAAAAAAACCATTACACCCTTGCAGGATATTGTCTTCACTATGATCTTGTTCCAGTCCTCATCCATGCTCTACAGGCACACCACTATTTTGGTTAATCGATTCTTATGTATTACATATAGTATTAGAGAGGTTCTCCTGAACTTTAGCGATCGGGCCATCTATTGGTTAGATGTTTCACTACTTGCGTTTAACCATCTACCTATCTTTATCCCTTCTGTTTTGTTGGTGCTAACCCACTTTTAGAAATAAACTATAGGTTCTGTGTGTTTTTAAACAAAGGCCAAAAGAAACCTCCGCGCCGTCGTGCCTACCACGGCATCCAAGAAGGGCATCCACGGCATGCCTTGCCTAAGTGTCGTAGTGCTCGAGAGCCTGGATGTTGTCGTGCTAGAGAGCCTACGCATCCACCCAACTTTGCCTTTCTTCAAGCACAGTATCCATGACCTCACTAGCTCATGGCCTAGAGATATGCATGTATAGTATCTACAATAAAGGAATACGTACATATGCCCTTCTCTTGTCTTATGTTCAGAGTGGCTTGATAGATCAGCTGTTTTCCTCGATCGACTTAGTTTTAGAAAATGATTTCGGTATTACCACAATACACTAGCCTGATTGGATGATAACAAAGTAAAATCGGCATGTTCAACCGTTCAAAGGAAAATCAGTGGTTCATGCGCATGCATACTTTACTTAGACACGTGCATAGGCAGATGGCTGCTCATGTTTTGGAGGCATCTATTCAGAGGAAGGAAGTACCAAGTTTTCGCTGGACATATGAACTGCAAGAGATGGAGGTGGGCAGATTAAACGTGAAATTGATGCGGAGCTCGTAAGTCTTGGCCTTAGCCACGTACATATGTGTCGCCCCATTTAGAATGACAGAGACGCGAGCGGTGAGTTACTCCAGTATGGTCCCAGCTAACTAATTGTCTTCGGAACTACTTAAATAATGGTTGAGGACATGAGGTGGACATGTACGTAATTAACGTGTAAGCGAATCCTGAATAATAATGAATGTGATCAACACATATATTATGTAAACCAATCTCCCACCTCAAACCTTATACGCATATGCACAAGTCAGCAAATCCAAATAATTAATTTATGTGATGATCACACCAGGGCGGCTAAACGTTTTGACTGAACAATAGATGTATCTAATTACAACTGAAGATATGTAATAATTAATAATCCGCGGCCAACCTTGGCAAGAGATGTGCACAATCACACCATGCTGACTTATCTATATGTGTGACCCTTATGAATGAATGTGTGTTGTTTCATATTACATTTACTTGTATATATCTAGTACCTCCTGCCAATGGTTGAGACAAAGTGAGATAGGGATGCTACAAAGAAGTCCGCATGCGATGCACATGGGTATATCCACCATTACTAGTACGTAGCATGCATATAAATTAGGCAAGGCTATTTTTAGAAAATATTAGCAAAATGGTGTTTGTGTCCAAATTAATTTTCCATAGTTTGAGCAAGGTACTAACTTTTCTCGCATAGTCGTGAGGGAAGCTGCACATCAAGGAACGGATTATACGCACACGGTAAATGCTTTTAGGACCTCGGGCAACTGTTGACATATCGTTTTCTCTCTTCTATATTAGTCACTTTTATGTGGACAAATGGCTCTAATATTAATATATAAAATAATATAATCGCATAATTAAATACAATGGCGATACTCCTGCTAAAAAAGGAGGACAAAACAGCCCATCAAGTTGTCTGGTTCAACGAAGAGCTACTGGTCATCATGCACCCGCACAGCCACATGCCATGTGGGTGACTGCGGTAGCTATTGCCGGTGAATTTCAAAGGCACATGGGTTGTTAGTCTACACATGTGGTAATTAAATAATGGTTGAGGACATGAGGTGGACATGTACGTAATTAAGGCGTAAGAGGATTCAAAACAATAATGAAGGTGATCAACACTTATATTATATAAACCAATTTCCCACCTCGGACCTTATCTGCATACACACAAGTCAGCAAAACCGTACAATTAATTTATGTGATGATCACACTAGGGCAGCGAAACGTTTTGACTGAATGAAAGATTATTCTAATTACAACTAACGACCAGTAATAACTAATAATATGTGCCCAACCTTGACATGAGAGGCGCACAATCGGACCATGCTGAACTATCAATATGTTTGACCCTAATGAATGAATGTGCGGTAGTTCATATAAAATTTACTTGTATACATCTGGTACCTCCTCCCAATCGTTGAGACAATGTGAGAGAATGAAGCTACAACGAAGTATTTAGGTGATGCACATGGCTGCATCCACGGCTGCTAGTAGCAGGCATATAAATTAGGCAAGGTTGTTTTTAAAAAACATTGAGAAAATGATGTTTGACAAAAGAGCCCATCAAGTAGCCCCGTTCAACGAAGAATCATGCTTGAGAGTAGCTGATCATCATGCAGCCGCACAGACACATGGCCATGTGGATGACTGCAGTAGCTATTACCCGTGAATTTTAAAGGCACATGGGTTGTTAGTCTACACACGTGATGGTAGACTACAGGATGCGGTTCAAACAAAGGCACCGAAATATGGAACGAACTAAAATTTTCTAGCTATTGAGTGTAAACTAGCCTTTGGTGGATAGGAAAAGCTAGGTGGCCAAGGAGAAATTGGCATGGGGCAATTGAAGTTAGGAAATTTCATAAGCATGGTCCGTCTCAAGGTTCTTAATTGAGTGAAGACATGGTTCTAGGAAAAAATTCGCTACGGAACGAACCTTTCAATGACCATTATGCGATTATTTACAATTATTGTTGCCTGCTAATCTAATCTCATGCTGGTTCAAGTCCTTGAGACAAATCTATCACTCATTGAGCTAGGAAGGTCCATAACCTAAGACAACAAAGTAGTGTCTGATCGGCTAGTTTCTCGGTTATCACGGGTTCAATTATCAGAGGTTGTGACACCTTTTGTTGCAAACCGAAAACAGTTAGCAGTTATCTGTACGGTTCAAGTACAATACCGTTGTAGAGTCTTTCTTAGATGTCATAGTAAATTCCTATATTAGTTGAACATCCCAAGTAAGGTTAAAATTTTCCTTTAGTATGTAAGGCGGGGTGCGCCACTAATGAAGGATAATCTAATAAGTTGCAATTGGAAAGGATCTAAAAAATGTTGTTCTTACAACTCTAGTGAGACCATCAAGCATTTCTTCGAGAATGGCCTCTTAAAAACAAAGATCATAGTATCCAGTCAAGATAGCTTATAATATTATGGCACCGCCTATAATATCCTAGCCGCCACTAGTGTTTAAAATGTATGGGCCAATCTTACTTGAATTGATCAAGCTTTGAAACCGCTCGGTCATGTTGGGCTGTATTGTTTTGTTGGTCCATTTTTTTATTTCACAGAATTGCTTTTAATATTAAAAAACCATTACTCCTTTGAACGATATTGTCTTTACTATGATCTTGTTGCAGTCCGCATCCATACTCTACAGGCACACCACTATTTTGGTTAATCGATTCTTATGTATTACGTATAGTATTAGAGAGGTTCTCCTGAACTTTAGCGATTGGGCCATCTATAGGTTAGATGTTTCATTGCTTACGTTTAACCATCTACCTATCTTTATCTCTTCTGTTTTGTTGGTGCTAACCCAGTTTTAGAAATAAACTATAGGTTTTGTGTGTTTTTAAACAAAGGCCAAAAGAAACCTCCGCGCCGTCGTGCCTACCACAGCATCCAAAGAAGGGCATCCGCGGCATGCCTTGCCTAAGTGCCATAGTGCTCGAGAGCCTAGATGCTGTCGTGCTAGAGAGGCTGCGCATCCACCCGCCTTTGCCTTTCTGCACGCACGGCATCCATGACCTCATGGCCTAGATGATATGAATGAATAGAATCTACAATAAAGGAATGCGTATATATGCCCTTCTCTTGTCTTATGTTCAGAGTGGCTTGATAGATCGGCTGTCTTCTTTGATCGACTTAGTTTCAGAAAATGATATTGTCTCGAGCATAGTGAATGGATGGACTATTATATTGTCTGGAGTCTTTCTTGAAAAAAAAACGATATTTTTTTCCTCAAAAATATATCAGGAGTACATCCGATGCCACCAGCCTAACTTCTTAAAATTAAATTGTATACATCTGATTGATGCAGCCAATGGTTTAGAAAATATGTGGGAGGGAAGCTACAATTCGTTCAGATGGCTGCTGGCAGCGGGCCTATAAATCCTACCTTTATGAGATTGAATTCTCATCCAAGATTTCATCGATCCCCTTAGGCACAAACCAATTAACGAAATGGCCATGGCAAGCAGCACCGAGCTTATGCAAGCTGAGGCCGACCTCGTGCGCCACTCCCTGGGCTACCTCAAGTCCATGGCATTGCACAGTGCTGTCAAGCTTGGAGTTGCTGATGCTCTCCACCGTTGTGGTGGCAGCGCCTCCTTGCCCGACCTGCTTGCCACCCTCCCCCTCCCTCCAAGCAAACAGCCCTACTTGTCACGCCTCATGAAGGTGCTAGCCACGGAAGGAATCTTTGTGGCCGAGGAGGGTCTGGCTGTCGCCAACGGCAGCGACGGGGCGACCTGCGTGTACCACCTAAACACAATGTCTCGCCTCCTCGTCAACGACGCTGGCATCAATGGCGGCAGCTCGTGGAAGCTGTCGTCGTGCATTCTCATGACGACTACGCCGCAGATTGTTGGATCCGCCCTGCAGCTTGGGCAGTGGTTCCAAAGCGATGGCGAGGCCACGCCGTTCGTGATGGCCAACGGCCGGCCCCCCTATGGGGTTGCTGCCCACGACGCCGAGTTTAACTCGGTGTTCAACGAGGCCATGGCAGCCGACAGCCGGTACCTGGCCGACCTCGTGGTCCGTCAGTGTGGCGAGGTGTTCGAGGGGATAACCTCGCTGGTCGACGTCGCCGGCGGGACCGGTACGATGGCGAGGGCCATTACCAAGGCATTCCCACACGTCAAGTGCTCAGTTCTTGACCTCCCACATGTGATCCAAGGCGTCTCGGCTCAGGCCGACAATGTGGAGTTTGTTGCTGGGGACATGATGGAGTTCATTCCACCTGCTGATCGCATTTTACTTAAGGTATTATCATTTTACTTAAGGTATTATCATTCCTATATGCCTACAAAGATACACACGTTTTCTTATATATACGTATTTGTTAGCAGTAATTTAACAAATAATGTACTCCTTAATCTAACTGAAGCTCTTAATTTGTTGTTGGATTGATAGTATGTGCTGCATAACTGGAGCGACGAGGATTGCGTGAAGATCCTAACACGATGCAGAGAGGCCATTGCCCACGGAGAAAAAGAAGGGAAGGTCATCATCATCGATGAAGTGGTTGGATCTCGCTCACAGAACATACTCGAAGCCCAGCTCTTGATGGATATGCAAATGATGTCACTATTTATGGCCAAAGAACGATATGAGCAAGACTGGAACAACATATTCACGGAAGCAGGATTTGTGAATTACAAAATTCGACCTATCCTAGGGGTGCGATCGGTCATTGAACTCTACATATAACTTGCTCGTGCTCCATAATCCTATATATATGACCATCTATCATGTTCCCGTTTGTTGTGTAATAAATGCATAGTGCATCAGTGTTTAAAACATTTATAGTACTTCTTCATGCACCATGTATCAGGGCCAACCAATTATTGGAATGTACTTTCTACCTTGCAGTTGAATCATTCAAAGTTGTGTGATATTAGTCCCATGCATGATCTCATATCTTGCTGACTGTCGATTGAGACGCCATGCTAGCAATATTAATACCCTACGACACATGATGCCGCCTGAGAAGACTTACTTAAAAAATGGAAATATTACTTTTTTGAGGATTGAAGCATGAAATAAGACTTTGCAAATAATAAAAACTTTGCTCGTGGCATCTCTCACAAAAGAGAAACAAAGAACAATGTGATTAGGCTTCTACCATATTTAAATGGAGATAATAAACTTCGTAGGGACATACAAAGGCCATGCAAATATATAGTACATGTTTAAAACTTAAAAACATGAGATTCAATGAGGAACGTGGACATGAAGAAACCTAAGCAATAATTGGACATGAAAAAATTGTACGATGCTTTACGGCACAGCTGCAATCCTACTTCTCAATTTACACTAACCGTCTGTGGATGCATTGTAACGCAAGAAGTGTAAAACGAGAGGGAAGTCATGGCATGTTTCGTCCTACAGCAATTGAAAACATGACAACATATAACCGTAAATGTTTGGTTATTTCGAGGCCCCCAACACCACATCCGGTCCCATGTCCGCATGGCAGCTGCCTTCCACTTGTGTTGAATTGGTCATTAGTCCCGGTTCGAGAAGGCCTTTAGTACCGGTTCACCAACCA